CCGGCAGCCGTCCCCGTTCCCGGCTTCGCCGGCTGCCGAGAGGCCAGCAGATGCCAGAGCCCGGGAGCCAGGCAGGGGAGCCGTGGACTCCCACCTCCCCGCAGGCAACTTTCCCCAAGCCGGTCCCCGGGCTCGCAGCACTGACTTGCCACAGGCTGGGGCGGACGGGAGGGAGGACTGCAGCGAGGTTTCCAGGGAAGGGAGGCTGGGGTACACTCCACTTTAGAGCGCGATGAGGACCGAGACGGAGGCCTGGGCTGAACCCCGCCTGCCCCGGGCCGCGTTCTTGGCTGCTTTTGGAACTTCGCTTTCTCCATCTATAAAATGGGATTGTGATGCTACCTCCCAGGGTCTGTTAGGATGAAACCAAAAGACTCTGCAAAGTGCTGAGCAGGAAGCCTGTGGAAGTAGATAAATTCACATTAGTTTTAGCAGGGAAGAATCTCCATTTCTGGCCTTGCAGGGTGCACTTAGGCCAGGGGTACAGTTTGCTTGCCCTCCGGTGGGCAGCGCAAACCCGCACCAGAATGTTACTGGCCATTGGACCTCGGTTCAGCAACCTTGGTACTTGCGTTCTGGCCAAGAAAGAATTCAGAGCCAAGGCTGGAAAGAAAGTGTAATTAGAAAGTCATGCGCGTAGAAGTGAGCTGTAGAAGAAATGGGCTCAGGAAACAAGTTACAGAGGCAAAAGAAGAGCCCTTGGAGCTTAGGAGAGAGAGAGAGGGAAGGAAAGCGCCCCTGGGGGAAAGGGGCTGGTGTGCTCCACAGAGGGAGCCCTGCTGGGTCCTCCAGCTTAAGGGTCTTTACCTGGAGGTCTCAGCGTGGGCATCAGCTTTCCAAGTGTGTTCTCTAAGGGTCATGGTCTCTACTGATTGGCCTGCGCCAGGGCAGGGGGCATTAGTCAATGCAGCTGGAACTGATGTCAGCCATGGCCTTGCTTGTCTGGTTTTACTGCTTTTCTGGGCCTGGAACTGAAACCCAACTGAGGCCTAGATGTTATTCCTGAGGAGTTAATGCTTAAGGGAGTGGTCATGCAAGGGCCTGCATGGGAGTCCCCTGAGGCCACTCTCCCACCCCTCGTTCCCCCTCCAAGGGGGCCTACCCCATACTAGCAACAAGCCAGGGGAGAAAGGTCAGGGGAAGGTCGGCACCACATGGCCAGCCTATGCTAGGGCAGGAAAGTTTGTCCTGGGGGCAAGTCCTTGTTCCAGGTTTGTGGTTGCTAAGCCCTGGGGGCTCTCCTCCCTGGTGCTTTCTGTTCCTGGCCCGTCCGCCTTGCTCTGCTCATGTCTGTCTAACTGCCACCACCATTCGCAGAGGTGGAAGTGAGCTGTAGAAAGAATGTCTCAGGAAACAATTCCAGAGGCAAAAGAAAGGCCTCCTTGCCCAGGAGCCTCATGGGGGCATGGACAGGGCAAAAGCCCTGTCTCCAAGGATGCTCCAGGCAAACATGCGGCCAGCACCTACCCTGCTTTGGCTGGTGGCTGTCTGGGTATTTGCATGGGATATGGCAGGGGCTATGGCAGTTCGAAGGCAAAGCCATTCCTCGGAACCAGCCACCACGCCATGGCTGCCATTCCGGACCGTACCCGATAAAGGCCAGGTCCCCGCCGACAGGGGGCGCCCACTGCGCGCGGGAGAAAGGT